AGAGTTGTCCATTTGGTCCTTTTCTTTTTTCATCATATATTTCACAGTAACATCTCACTGCTCCCTGAATCTGCCTATTGACTTTAGCAAAGCAATCAGTGTTTAGGTCTATGTTTTCAAGCAACTGAAACCCCTGATTTAGTTTAGAAAACTAAATCTAAATAGCAGTGTGTTGAATAGTAAGTCATAAAATTGAACATCTGTGAGTGAACATCTGAGGATGATAACATCAGCAAATTACCCAGTGCAACATTGTATGTAGTACACATTACTAATGGTAACAAAAACTCAACCATTGGATCAGACTCATAGCGACCCCTCCATTGGGTTTCTCATAGCAGCCCCTCCTTGGGTTTCTGAGGTGGTATCAGTACAGAAGTAGATTGTCCAACCTTCCTTCCGGGTTGTGGCTGGTGGGTTTGAGCCACTAGCCTTCTGGTTAGCAGTCAAGTGCCTTAGGCACTGTGCTACCAGAGCTCCCTTACTGACGATAAGATGTACCAAAACAACAAAAAACCCCTAAAACAGATGGATGAAATGTGGTTTGTTGTAACTTGAATACATTATAAGTCAGGAACTACCTGTACAGTAGATCCTCATTTTTTCTGGTGACTTTCAGAATGGTTAATTTACTTGCCAAGGTCACATAATTTAGTAATGAATAGGGCCTGGTACTTGAACCTAGATATTTTGAGAGCAAGCAAAGTACCCTTTTCTGATTCCTAGTGTTTGCAAGCATTTAAAAATTACAGGATGCTCCTTATGAGTTATTTTGTTTTAAAATTGTGATTTGGGTGAAAGTTTACAGAGCAAATTCACTTTCCATACAGCAGTGCACACACACATTATCTCGTGACATTGACTACAATTTACCCCAGTGCAACCTCTCCCCTCCCACTTCCTCCTGATAGTTACTACCTCTTCCCTGTGTCCATCCCTCCATGTACTCCTGCCCCCTGAGCTGTCTCCCTGTGCATGAACAGTTCTTTCTCCCATGATTTTTCTCTCCAAGGAGTGTATCTACCTCAGGTACACGTTCAACTCTTATGCCTGTCTTTTGTTTGTCTGGAAGCCACAGGTGTGGGTTCAATTCCAGACCTGAAGGGCAGGAAGGGACCATAGTCTCAGTGGTTCCACCAGGCTGTATCAGACTAGCAAACCTGGTCTCCCCCCCTTTTATTTCCCCAATGATTTTGAGTTTTGTTCCACGTTGTTCTCCCTCTCTATTTAGGATCTCCTACATAGATCCCCCTCCGAGTGGTTGACAGTTGTAGCTGGGCACCATCCAGTTCTTCTGGTCTCATAGTCGTGTAGGATGATGGTTGCATGGTGTACCAGTTGCAAAGACTAATTGTTTCCATGAATCTTTGCTTTTCTTCATTCTTCTTTGCCTTATGAGTTATTTTTGAAGGTGAAATAGAAAGTTCTAGTCTGACTCTTTAAGAAAGACAGGATAAAATGCCATGGACCCAATATTTCTGATGTTTGTCTTATTTTCTTCTTAAATCAAACTGTAGTGTTTGAGCAGTGCACTTCTCAACCCTGTCCATTGTTGTAATTATTTGAAGTCAGAGATTAGCTTTGGTAATACCTTCCAACTTCCAGAACACACACTTCCTTGTGGAAACTGGATATTTGACACCTGACTGTAGAGATTGACAATATGGGTTAAGAGTGAATCAGAGTGAGGTTGAAAAAGTTGAGATGTGCAGCACTTCCTTCACTAGGGGTCATCTTATTGCAATTTGAGCAGGCCGACTGGTAATGCTAGATTTCATCAGCAGGATTTGTGTGTGTGTATGAGTTATGGTAACTTGAGTAGATCACGTTTTCCAGCTGGATTAATTAATTCCCAATATTGTTTTCCAGTGAATTTAAGATGATTGGTTTTATGCAATGTGTAATGTGGATCCAGTTTCAGTGAGTGGATGCAGATGAGGGATGGTGTTGCTAAGGAAGCCTCCATAAAGTGACCCTTCCCATAATACGCTCCTTATGGGTAATCAGTGTTAAATAATAATGGAAATAATAGCTTACATTTATTGGGAGTGACTAGGGGCTGGGCACTAAACTAATTGTGTAACATAAAACCAGTTGCCATGGAGCTGACTCCGACTCATGGCCACCCCACATGTGTGAGTAGAACTGTGCTGCATGGGGTTTTCAGTGTCTTACTTTTCAAATGTAAATCACCAAGTCCTTCTTCTGATGTGCCTATGATGGATTTGAACTTCTAACCTTTTGGTTAGCAGACAGTGGGTTAACTGTTTGTACCACCCATGGACTCCATTGTATTACATAGATTATTTCATTTAATTCTTGTAACAGTCTAATGGGTTAGGGACTATTATCCCCTTTTGCAGATGGGTAAGCTGATGTTTAGAATTTGCCCCAAATCATCCCACTAGTAGGTGACAAAGATAAGATTTAACCTCATACATGCAGTATGACTCCAGGGTGGAACTCCCAACACTGAGCTGGGTACATAGTTTACTTCCTATTAAATCCAATCCATTGTAGCTTTTGAAGAAAACTCCAAGTAGTGATAGATATTGAGTTGCCAGGGCATAAAATCACAGAGCCACAGTAGAGTTAACCAGCTACAGGTAGAATGAGTCCTTGTTGGCACAGCGCAACCTCAGTGTTTCTAATTATTTCAAGAGAACAAATTACTCCACATCATAGGGCAATTACTGAGCCAGGGTCACTGTTACATTTTTTCACCAAATACAGGAAAAAAATATACCAAATAGGCTATTTTGTTTTCTTAATAATGTCCTCTAACTTTTACCTACCTCTCCATACAGCCTTTCTGCTCAGGAATTGGAAGACGATAGATAGAGAAACAATTTTAGTTTTGGTAGAGAGAACATATCCTACCCGCCCCCCTCTCCCCAAAAGTGTTAAAAATGCATGATCAGCCTCCGTTGTGCAGGTGGAAGGACAGTTGCCTGCAGGCCCTGTTTGCCAGCAAGAATCCAGCCTTGCAAATTATTGGCAGCTGGCACTGTAATGAGTCCATTTCAATATAAATGGGCTGTGGGTTATTAATTTCTGCCAGTGCCTAAGCAATTCAGGAATTGCTTTGAAAATCTGAAAATTTGCAGAGAGCAGTTGAAGGAGGATGCCTAGGAAAAAGGAACAGACTGGCAGGCAATGAGGGAATTAGAGAAGGAGCATGTATTGTGGGGTAATAATGGGGTGTTGGCTGAGAACGCGGGCTCCTTTCCCCACAAGCGTTAGTCACGAACTTCACGATTAAATAGCATACTTGCCAGGAGAAAGGAGAACAGTAACTTCATTTGGTACAGGATGCATATATTTATTTATTTACTGCCTGTATGTGGTCCCCTTCCACAAAATAGGCAGTGTTGTTCTTCATGTTCCTGCTAAAACTGTTTGTAAGTTCAGATGCCCACCTTGCTAAAACACCAGCAATGGGTGGTGTCACTGGGCAGCCCCACAGAGAAACAAAGTAATAAGGTAGAACCTCCCTAAGGCATTCTTCAGGCTTTCTTCCTTCCTTAATACCTACAATCTCTAAGGAGCTCTGGTGGCATAGTGGGTAAGACAGTTGGGTGCTAACCAGAAGGTTGATGGTTCAAACCTATCAGCTGCTCTGAAGGAGGAAGATGAGCAGATCTACCCCATTAGAAAGCCAATAGGAGTTGCTGTGAGTCAGAATCGACTCGATCGCAGTAGGTTTGGGTTTTTTATTTTTCCCCTTCAGAAGGCAGGGAACTATTAATACTGTTTATTCCTGGGGTATCCTTGTGAATCTGTTTTTTTGTGTTACATAATGGTTTGAATATTTTACCTAAATTCTGTCCTGTGTATCGTTTTCATGATTCTCCTCTGAATTTGATGTTTGCCAGCTCAAGAAAACCTGTTTACAATTAGAAGGTCTATATTTTTAATTCGGTTTCTCGTATTACTCTTTTTCAGCATGTTCTTCAACTTCTGTTATAAATCTAGCCCTACTTTGAGAATAACTTGTTTCCTTTTATTTTTCTCTGTGTTTTGAGAGATTTGGAAGATTACAGGGAAAATGGAAATCACCTGTTTCTGTTATCCAATACTTTAATCTATAGAAGGAACTCTAGTGGTGCTATGGTAAAGGCGTTCGGCTGCTAACCAGAAAGATGGCTGTTCAAACCCACTAGCCGCTTCTCAGGAGAAAGATGAAGCAGTCTGTTTATGTAAAGATTTACATACAGCCTTGGAAACTTTATGGGGCTTGCTATGAGTTGGAATCGATTTGATAGCAGTGGGTTTGGGTTCATTCTGTAGAGATAGAAACTAACTTTAAAAATGTATAAAATAACTTAATTTGTAGAGCTATTTATTACCAACAAACAAAACCAAAGTTACTGCCGTCGAGTTGGATCCGACTCATAGCAACCCCTCCTTAGGTTTCTGAGATGGTATCTCTCCGGAAGTAGATTGCCCAACCTTCCTACAGCAAATATAAATATGCTCACATGTATTTTTTTAAAATCTGATGATGCATACCATTTTATATCTATAACTAACTGTTGCATTGTTTGAATTGGAGGTGGTATTTCATATGAGGAGTCCCTGGTAGTACAAATTGTTTAAAGTACTCAGTTGTTAAGTGAAAGTTTGGAGGTTTGAGTCCACCCAGAAGCACTTGGGAAGAAAGTCCTATTTCTGAAAAATCACAAACACTGTGGAGCACAATTCTGCTCTGACATTCATGGCATTGCCATAAGTTGGAGTCAACTTCATACGAAGTTGGTGTTGGAGAATTGATGAAAATGTCCATTGGCTACATAATGGTTGAACATTTCCTTTTTCCCCCTTTTTTTTTTTCCTCTCTGACCCTCTCCTCTCCAGGTTTTTGGCTCAGCATCACAGAGTCAGATGAGACCCTGATGACGACCCCAAGGGGCAGGTGCTGATAGATTTCCCAGGCCCCGTCACTGTTCATCCTGACATCATTACCAATCTCAGTATCTAAATGCCACAGTGCTCTTGGGGCAAGTTGGACTGGGGACCACTGTTGCCTTTTAAGGTAGGTTTGCGTATATATATTTGTGTCTGTATCTGTGCTCATGAATCAGTGACAGTGTTTCAAATGTGAAGAGACAGATATATTTAATTATAATGGCATTGCTGTGTTGTAGCTATGAAGCTCGTGGGAAGAATAATTTAGAATCACTTCTTAGGATTAAGGTTACACCCATTTAACAATTCAGAAACATTAATGTTAAAACTAAAATATATAGGTACCTGTGAAATCTTTTCTCCCCCTATGATTTGCCCTCGGGATTTTAAAAATTATCCCTGAGATTCAACATCTTTATATTGGATTATGTTTCAAAAAGGCAAACCTGGCTTCAAAATCTTACTTCAAAGCAATGATCTATTTTGTTTCTGCTTTGGATGATCTTTAAAAAGCAAAATTAAAATCAGAATAATCTTTTCTGAATCAAAGATCATCTTTTATTTGTTGCAAAACTTTCATGTTTAGTCTCATGTGTTAGGGGTGTTTGTGTGTGACTTAGCAAAACTGTTTTCATTGGTTTTTAAAGATCTAGCAGAAACTTTCAGAACTTTTTCTCTGTTTAATCTTAGCTCCCCCCGACCCACCCCCTGGTCTTCAAGCTCAGTCTCCAGTAGGGAAAGAACAGGCTTGAAACCAAGACCTCCCACTAGAATCTAATTTTAAATTTGCAATCTGTTGTCTTGTGATTTTTGCTTCAAATTTAACTTTGAAGTAAATACATTCCATCCTTTCTCCTGCAGTTTTGGAGGTCTGTTTTCAAGTTATAGAAGGGTGATTATTATGTTTATTTGAATACATTTTTAAATACCTTGGGGGAGTGAAAAATTATTAATAATTATAATTTATATACGTCATTAAATGCCTTATGGTTTGATTTCAGAATACCATTAGCAAGGCTAGAGAAACCTTGCTTTAACAGTTAATTTTTTACTTGAATATGATATGAATTGGGTCATTTTGGAACCACCAATAGGACCTCATATTTTATACATTTGAAATATGCTTTATAATGTAGGCGATTACCATGATGAGCTTTCCCACTGAGAAATGTTTTACTAAAATTTTAATGCACAGTGATGACTAAGATATAGCCCCTGCCATGTGGAGGTTATAATTAAATGGGGAAGGGGCAAATCAAACAAGACAAATGTATCACCGTACAAATCACTATGCACAGGCGCAACGTGAGAAGGCCAAGCAAAATGTCATTGGAACTTAGAGAATGATTAAAGCCAAACTAGATAGTATTTCTTTTAGGTAATTTGCCTAATCCATCTGTTTTGGGTTGGATTTTGATGTCTTTTTGTTGTTGTGTGCTGTGGCACAGTTTGCCCTCAGCTACTCATCTAAAGGTTGGCAGTTTGAACTCACCCAGCTGCACCGTGGGATAAAAGGCCTGGTGATCTGCTTCCTTGAAGATTACAGCCAAGAAAACCATAAGGAGCAGTTCTACTCTGTAACACATGAGGTCGCCATGCGTCAGAATTGACTTAATAGTAATGGGTTAGGTTTTGGTTTGGTCAGCACAGTACCCACATCCTCACTTGCTTCAATCATCAAAAAACCCAGTGCCTTAAAACATGTTGACATGTTTTTATTTTCTTTCATTACAACGAATTACATGTTTAGTGTAGAAAATATAGGTATTAAAAAAAGCATAACTTTGAAGATTAAAGTTACATAAAATCACTCTTTCCTGAATAGTTTAAAAAAAAGAAAAAAAACTTAAAAAATTCTCAACACTGATCTGTCGTGTGTATGTGTGTGTAAGTTTTGCTTATTCTTAAAATTTTAATCTATTCAAGGTGATATCTTAGATATGTACCTCAAAAGTAAGTTTTTACTTCCTTTGGATAAGAACAGATGGTTGACCCCAGTGGTAGTGTTGTCTTCTTGTTCATCTGTTTCTGAACAGGGCAGGCCTTGGCAGACTGACCCACAAGGCTGGGCTTTAATCTCTTGGAGCTGTCCTGCTCTTCACCTAAAGGGTGGAGCATCCTGCTGTCTGGAGTACTGCTTAAACCTCTGATCACATCTAGGGAGTTAGATTTCCCAATCCATAAAAAATATTATTATAACCTCTTCAGTCCTTAGGGTAACATGGTAATTTCCAGTTTCCCTTATGTCTTTTTCCTTCCCCTTTCTCTTTCCCTCCGAACAATCTGTGGTTGCACAAGTATTTTTCTTTGTTTTCTCCATCCAAGGACTTTGACTTCTATTAACTGGAATCTTTTCTTATTTAGTGCTGAGAAAATATAACATCAGAGTGATTAAAAACTATAGCTTACATGTTCTTTTTTGGATCATACTAATTTTATCTATTTTTTTTTAAATTGTGGTAATATATATGTGGAGCTCTGGTAGCATAGTGCCTAAGGCACTTGACTGCTAACCAGAAGGCTGGCGGTTCAAACCCACTAGCCACTCCTCAGAAGGAAGGTTGGGCAATCCTACTTCCTTAGTGATACTGCCTTGGAAACCCAAGGAGGGGTCGCTATGAGTCGGGGCCGACTTGACGGCAAATAACAACAATGACGACAAATATATATGTAACAAAATATTTGCCATTTCAACATTTTTTGAGTACAATTCAGTGACATTAATCACATTCATCTTGTGTAACCATTACTCCATTCTCCATTTCCAAAATTTTCCGTAACTCATAACAGAAGCTCAGTGTTCTCAAAGCAATGACTCTGCCTCTCCCCATCCCTCCTGCCTGCCCTAGGTAACCACTAATAAACTTAGATCTTTATACACTTGCCTCTTCTAGGTGTTTAATTTAAGGGGAGTCATGCAGTATTTGGCCTTCTGTTTACCTCTCTTTTTTATGTGTGTTCTATTTCTCTACTCAACAATAATAATTGATATTCATAATGACATTGCTAGCACTTAAATGTTTCATTTATTTCAAGAGTGTTTATCTTTACTTCATGGAACACAGTGATAATAACTGCTTTAAAGCCTTTGTGTGATAATTCCACCACACAGGTCTTCTTGGAGTTGGCATCTGTTGATGGTCTTTTCCCTTGAAAATTGATTATATTTTCCTGGTTCTTTGGAATACATTGTGGACATTTTGATTATTATGTTGTGAGATTTTGGGTCCTATTAACATCATCTACAGAATGTTGGTATTTCTTTGTTATTACTTAAATAGGCAATCTATCTGGTTAAGGCTGCAGGTTTTGTTTCATTTTTGGTGGGTGGAGGGTCTAATGTCGGTTCAATTTTCAAAGCCTTTGCTATGCTGCTTTGGGCTTGTTCCATACGTGCATCACTTAGAGGTTAGCAATGGACTGTACTTTATATTATAATTCAGTTCTCAAAGCGTTTGCTAACTTGCTTTGGCTTGGTCCCATGCATGTCTGTCTGAGAGGTGATCCTGGGTCTTGGGTGGATTTATACACAGAATTAAATTTTCTTCCTTGGCTCTCTTTTCTCAGAGGACCCCTTCATTTTTTTGGCACAGGGACCACTCTTCTTCGTTTCTCTGGCCACAAAGAAGGGGTCTATCTTGGATGTTTTATGGTCTGTGCCCTAGCTTCACTCGGTACCTTGGTACTAGGTTGGGGGAGAGAAAGTAGGGGAAAGAAGGGGGTGGAGAACACCCTTATCTGAATGGCTTCTTCAGATTGTGACACCCATCCCCTCTCTACTTAACTTTTGATTCCTTTTTAGAGTCTTCAGGTAGTTGCTTTTTTTGATTGGTCTGTATTTTTAAATTTTTGACACTTTTTAGATGTAATCAGTGGTGGGAGTGGGGTTTAAGAGGGTAGAGAGAGGCCTTAATGGGCTTATTCCATCTTGGCTTTACTGGAAGTTAGCAATTTTGGTTTGTTGAGTAATTTATTAAGGCAGAACCCTATCCCCAGTGTGGTGGTGGTGGTGGTTGTTATGTGCCGTCGAGTCGGCCCCGACTCATAGCGACCCCTCCTTGGGTTTCCGAGGCAGTATCACTACGGAAGTAGGATTGCCCAACCTTCCATCTGAGGAGTGGCTGGTGGGTTTGAACCGCCAGCCGTCTGGTTAGCAGGCAAGTGTCTTAGCCACTATGCTACCAGAGCTCCCCCCCAGTGTGGTAGTTAAGGTTATGTGTCAACTTGGCTAGGCCTGGTTTTGAGTGGCTGGGCAGCTAGATATAGTTATTCTCTATGATGAGACTGGTAATTAATTCCATGGTGGAATCTACTGGAACAGCTGAGTAGCTCTTATGGATGTGGTCTGCTTCCAGTATATTGAGAAAGGTCTCTGCAACTTTTTGGCACTTGCGGACCCTGCATGTAGCCGAGTCTTCATTCAGCAGCATGCCATGTTTCCTGCCAATTTTGGAACTGTCTCTGGACTTGAAGTAGTGGCCTGCCATATTGTTTGGTAATCTTAGGACTGTGCCATTTTATTTGTCGACCTTGAGTTTGTCCGCCTCAGCAGCCAACAGCTGTCTGAGTGAAGAGGCACCTCCAGGTCCAGTGGGCCAGGAGCAAGAGGCAGGGCTGAAGCCCAAGGTTGAGGGGCTTTTTCCCAGCCCCTGCAGCTGGCACTTTGAACTCAGACTTCTGGCCTCCTAAGCTGTAAGAGAATAAATCCCTGTTTGTTCAGGCCCTCCCATTTGTGGTATTTTCTGTTATAGCAGCATTAGAGATAACCAAAACACCAGTTAATAAACTCTACCTCACTATTCAACCTCAATTTGGACCACTGGGCTAAGCTTGTTTTGTATTTTCTATTAACATGGTGCCTGATGATGCCCAATAAACACTTATTTTTTAGATTGCTTTATTTGTTGAAAATATATTAGAACTTCTAAGTTTTTTTTTTTTTTTAAGCTGAAGGAAGGGATTCAAATAAATAGATTTCATGTGAAAGAATCATTACTTAAAAATAAAAATTCATTTTAACAGAAAATTCTAGTTAGTTAAGGTTGTGTTTGTTGTTTTTGTAACTTTTTATTTTGAAATAATTATAGTTTGATAGGAAGTTGCAAAGGTAGTACAAAGGAGTCCTGT